CTGGAATACAAGGGAGCTATTTGGTTTCCTAATTTGGAAGTATTTTTCATACTTCCTATAATTTAAGTATTTGGAAGTATGAAACTTCAAATGAAAGCAATCACTTCAATAAAGGCATTTTGTTTTTAAATGAATTCTGCTTAATAAGATAGTAAATATTTTTAAGATCTGCTGGTATCCATTTCCAGAATCTGAAAAACCTAAGGCAATTAGAAGAAAAATTAAACCAGCAGAATTTTTGCTGACCTGTTGTGGTTTAACCCCAGTGTGCAGCTCTGCCCTACACAGCCGCTCGCTCACTGCCCTACTGTGGGGCGGGGTGAGAATCAGAAGGGCAAAAGTGAGAAACATAGTGGGTTAAGATAAAGTAATTTAAAGAGATAAAGCAAATGCTGTGCATGGAAGCAAAGCAAAACAAGGAATTCATTCGCTACTTCCCATCGCAGGCAGGTGTTCAGCCGTCTCCAGGAAAGCAGGGCTCCATCATATGTAACTTACTTGGGAAGACAAATGACATAACTCTGAACATCCCCTTCTTCCTCCTTCTCCCCCCAGCTTTAGTTGCTGAGCACGATGTCATATGGCATGGGATATCCCTTTGGTCAGTTGGGGTCAGCTGTCCCAGCTGTGTTCCCTCCAGCTTCCTGTGCCCTTCTGGTGGGGCAGCATGAGAAACAGAGGATGCCTTGAGGCTGTGTAAGCGCCCTTCAGCAATAGCTAAAACATCTGGGTGTTATCAGCACTGTTTTCATCACAAATCCAAAATATAGCACAATGTGGGCTGCTATAAAGAAAAATTAACTCTATCCCAGCCAAAACCAGTATGTGAGCCTAGGGGGAAAAATTGCTGTAGTTTTAAAGTGAGTCTCATGAGATTTCCACGACAGCTGCTGAGCAGAAGAGGGGTTTTATTTTTCTAAGTGGCTTGCATCTTATACATCTCACTGACTTTTTGTGGTAATGATTGTTTATCCATTTAAATATAATCCTCCTTCCTTGGAGGCAGGTTAGGGCTTCAAGGGCAATAGGATAGACAAAAAGCATGTGGGACAGAGAGTAGCTGTCAGTTTGCTCCAAAGGCTTCACAGCTTATTTAGACATACCTATGATTATACAATTTACAGATGAGTCCATTCTCTGGAGTAGGCAAGCTATAAAGATCTACAGAAAATGCATTTTTACAATCAGTCTAAACCAATCTGCATCCATGCTGCTGCTAACAGGGGCAGGTTCCTTCTCCTGGCAGCCTGTTCCCACAGCCTCTCTTACATTAGCACCAGCATTTGTACAGCCGTTCAGCCATATGGGTCAGGGGCTTGCTCCAGATGGCAATTAATCAGTTTGCAGTAGGATTCCTGTTAGTGTGGGGTTTCTTTCAGGCTGATTATCTGTCTGATCAAGCTGACAGCCTATCTGCATGGGCATGAGTGGGGGGAGGGAGACATTGTGACCAAGAAGGGATGGCTCCACTCCTTTCACAACAGTATGGATATAGATTGGCATAATAAGCCTGTTGATTCTTTTGACAACAGAGTTGGGGTTTTTTTGTGGGATTGTTGTCATATATCCCGGTGTCTTTTGTAGTCAAATGGTAAATGTTGTGACTTTCAGCCCTAAAGCGCACCATCCTAAGAATCTCCTCCAAAAACATACTCACACATTTTCTCGAGCACTTCCAACTCACGTGGTGCTCTCAGTTCGCTGGGAAATATGTGTGCAAAACAGAGTATGCAGTCAGATGCTCATTGCCCTGTCAGCCAAGAAACTATGTTGCTTCTTATAGATTTAAAAATATATAAGCAATTTTTTAAAAAGGTTGAAAGCAAAAAGGTAAGAAAACTAATCAGTTGGGTAGGTAACTTGGAGAATACCCTTATTTATCATCTCACCGGTTCATACATTTTTCTAGGAACGTGTTAAATTTCTTCTGTTTCCCTCCTGGTGCAGGCTGCCTGACATATTGATAGCTGTGTGGGACTACTTTGTTTTTCAGGTCATACACTGGTTGTCTACCTTTTTTAGTTCACAGAATACTTGTCACCCTACCACAGTGTTTAACTGCGTGTATGTTCACTTAATCTGTGACTTCCTCTCTTTTTTAACACAAATTTTCAGGCTTTTTATAACAGCTTTCTTGAAGTCAGAATTTCCAGCCACTTTTTTGAGTGTTTTGCTCATAAACTGGTGCCATGAGTTGAGGTTCAGGCCATCTGTCATCAGCTTATGACATCAAAAACAGAGACAAATTAAAAAATCAGTGAGACTCAGGAGCTCACTATATATTTTACTGTCAATGGCTAATTATTGCTGTTCATAGAAATGCACATCTGGCTGGGTTGTTTCAAGGACAGATCTATATTTTTACCCATAATTTGACTATTTTACATACACCATAACTGTTATAGCACTACACTGGGAATTGTCATTGTGGAAAAACTATCATACTTGTTAGGTGACCTGATAATGATGGTAAGTGCAATTTATTGCATTAATTGAACAGTTGTTATCACAGTAAATGTCACAGGGTTTTGTCTGTGTGACCTGTACAATGCCAAGCTACTTGCCTACCACTGTCTCTTTTTTAGTTAATTGTTTCAGTAGTCAGATTATTTTAGTAAACTTAAGTAGTTGTGGGATAGAAAGTTCTACAAAGAAAGAATAATCATGTTGCTTATATTTGATCTCCTGTTTGATCTAAAAATAGTTCCTCTGTATAAAATATCGCAACTCTTAATATTTGCCTATTCCAAAGACATTTCAGACAGACTAGACAATCTTGGTTCTTTGGACCTGCAGAAACAGTATTCACAGTCTGAGCTCATAAGCAACATGCAAAAACATGGTGGAGCAGCTGCATTTATGAGTAAATACTAGGAACCACTGAAATGCACAATGTTAGCTTGAGGTTCTCTCCCTTTTTGCAGCATTCTAGATAGTCCATTACTATAGTTTATGCAAGCCAATTAATTAGAAAAATATACAAATAAGATGCTGATGAATGTCCCTTTGCCCTTAGGTTTCCTTCAGGCTGAGATGCTGTGAACATCTGAAGAATTATTCAGGACACTACGGTGTTTAAAATAGGCTTTTTTGACAGGTGTTAAGGAGAAATGAGATAAGGTTAATCCATACAGCATGTCTACTTACTGGAGATTGCTCTCTACGACACATTGCTATTACTCTGGTGCTACAAAGGAAGAATATTTCACTCTCTCATTATTAATTGCAAGTTAATTATCAATTTACTATAACCCACACAAAAACTCCAATAAACTATCTCCTCTTCTTGATTCAAATGCAGGAGTGATAGTCCGAAAGTGGAATTAGTGGGCAGTACAGTATCCAGCACTCTAGAGAAAGACTCCTCTGAAAGAAGCAATGACATCGGTAAGTCATACTGCTTTTTATAGTTTGCCTAAGAAATGTATGGTGTAAATTTCTGCTTTTTAGTGACTGTTATGATCCAAAAGGCAGATTGAGGATATGGCAATGAATGTTGAGTGTATTTGTATCAAATATACAGGATTAAAGGATCATTTCTGCATTACTTAAAAAAAAAAAAAAAATTGTTGGGGTTTTCTGTTTAAAAAAAAATGAAAAAGGAAATATGGAATGGTGAGCTATTTTGAATAGGAGGGCTTTTGTTATTTCTGTTTAAAAGTCTGAAACAAATGAGAAGGCCAACGATAATAAGCCATGCTTGTTTAACAGATGTAATATTAGTACTACCATATTTTTAGTGCTGCAAAAGATTGTGGTTTTGTTGCAGTTAGTAATCTTACACTTCCAATACAAATGAACAGAGACCAAATTGAGGACAATTTGAATAAATTTTACTGAAAACACATTAAAAAAGAAGACTAAATTTCTCTTATTTGTGTTCCTACAACATGAACGGTTTAATTAGGAAATCACCTGGAAAGGAGTAATGATACATTATTTTTCTGTCTTCTCTCACCCTCCTTCCTTCTCAAGTTGGCAGCGCAGGAGAGATGTTTGGTGGGGTGGGTGCTGCAGTAAGTGGCAGTTGGAAAGCAAGGTGCTCTGACTCTTGTCCCAGGGCTGTAAGCAAAAGCCGCGACAGCCATCTTCTACCTCTGCTTAGGAATACGCTGGCGGCAGCTGCTGCCGTCGCTCTTCTCCGCAGTCGCAGCTGTGCCGCGAGAGACTCGTTTTTGTAAAAGGCTGAACCCGGGTACCCCGAGTGTATGAGCATTTCTGCCTTCCACTGACTGCATTAGATGTTACTTTGGTGTGGTGGTTTCTACCCAGACTGCTTTATTAGTAAAACATTTCTGTAAAATAGTATGCTTGCAACAGCCAAACCTGCCTTTTCTTTGTACTTGAAAGCAGACCTTTAAGTTATAGATGGATTTTAATTGCAATGTAACAATAAAATGCTAAATTGATTTCACATAGGTTTATGAGCTTTTCAGCATCCCTACGCCTGCTTTTTTTTAACCTTCTGCTGTTGCTGTGGTTCATTATAGTAACATTCTTCTGGAGAAGCAAGTAGTATGTTTTTCCCGGGTTTTCATTTGGGGTAAACATGGAAACCTAGAAGCTTGTGATAAACTGCATGAACATTTTTATTGTAGGGATTAATATAAAGGAATGGTATGGACATGCAGTCACATTCTACCATTTAGTGTTTGTTACCCATGTTTACAAATTTGCTTCAAAGCATGTAAGCTTTTGCTTACATGAAAGAGAAAGTTATGACTGCACATAGCATATAGTGGTGTTATGGAAGTAAACTTTTTTAATCCTTGTGCTAGTTTCCTTGGAATCACTATCAGGATGAAAGCTTAGAGTGTTTTGTATTTTTTCTGAGTTTTTTGGGGGTGGTTTTTTGGTTGTTGTTTTGTTTTTTGTTTTGGTTTGGTTTGGTTTTTTTTAATAACCTACAAAAGGCCAGGTAGGAAATTTGGTTTATAACAATTTTTTTCATTTACAGAACTTGGGTGAGGGGTTTTTGTTGTGTTTGTTGTTTTTGGTTTCTTTTTTTTTAATGGTGAACAGCATCCAACAAGAGTCCATAAACCAAACCACACACACATGTTGCAACGGGTTTAGCTGATGACCTCCTGTTACCACTAACAAGGGGAATCTATTGAGCCTAAGGTTAAAATAGTGTGAATACTTAGATAAGGATAACTTGATAGGGTCAAACCAGAATGGCATTTACAAGGGCAAAACATGTCATTCTATCCTGTTAGACAATTCATTAAAAGAAAAAACAGAAAGAAGTGTTGATTTTGGAATGAAAGTGGACCCAAAGATCGTAACTGTTATAAATTTTCAAGAGGCTTTTGACAGCTCATATAAAATATTATTAAAGAAATAAACAGCCTTTTCAGAGAAGGTAGAGCAATAAATTAATAAGCCAAAACAATTCACAGTGGATTAATGTCTTTTACTATGAGGAGAGGTTTGGACTTCAGACAGTTTATGGGGCAGTGTAATTGGGAAGATTTATTGTGAACGTCTTAGATTTTTTTATTTATTTACAAAGAGAACAATGGGTTGGAGAAATCTTGTGGCGAAATGAGTTATTAGTAAAAATGATGGATGAGTGAGTGGAGTTGTTCAGTGTATTCCAAAACAATTACGGATCAGGCAGTGTGAGGCCAATTTAACTGCAATATGTGTTACCAGTGTTGCTCCAGTGTCACATACTCTGTGGGGGGGAGAACAGCCTCAGCTTCTCTGAGGTTCATCCTTCCAGTCAAAATGGATCTGATTAAATCTACCATTTGATGTTTTTTCAGGAATCCAGATTTACACAACAAATTAGAATGGGCCTATGTGACAGGCAAGGTGGGGCCCAGCAGTAACCTTCGAAGAAAATGGAAGCTAAACGGCCTTTGCAGTAGCTCAAATGTCCATTCTGGTTACTGGGCTCCTCTTTATTCTTCCTTTAGCCCCAGTGCCATTCCCAGGCACTTGGAGCTCTCAGGGAGGACAGAGGAAAAAGCAGCAGTCAGTTGCAAGTTGCCTCACCCTTTTTCATGCTTATGCTAAGTACTGATGGTGATTTATGGACTGCAAATAAGTACTACAGCACTCTCCTGGCTTTTTGGCACTAGCGATGTTAAGCTGGATAATGACTGTTGCTTTTTCAGTCCTACAGCCAGTCTAAAGCTCTTGTTTTTTCATTCAAAGCAGAGAGATGTACAAAAGCACTGGAGAGAGAGTTCTGGTTATGAAAGCAAACCATACTAAAGCTGGATGGAGACCAGTTTTCAATTCTGTGAAAGCTTTTTAAGGATTTCTAAGTTGGTTCCTTTTCTTTATCATGATAAGACCAAAACCTTTATGATGAGGGAGGAGAAAGTACAGGGTCCTTCTTTATGCCATCTCCCAAGAAGATCGAACAAGTGATCAGCAGCAACAAAATCAGTAACTCCATCAACAATTGAGAAGAAATATGTAGAAGGGAATTGGGGAATCCAGGTTCAAAACTTGTATTCTATCTAGATGCCCTGTTCTAGATCAGTGTGTTTAACATTGCTTGTTTTCAAAACGGCATTTTTGTATTTATTCTCTAAGTCATATTCCACCAGTGGATCAGTGTTGTCTAACCAGAAAACCCCACACCTTTAAAAGCACCTTTAAAAACGTTCTCATCCAACTTTACCCATGAGGGAAGCCACAAATGCTTGAGCAAGGCTGAGGTGATGTGTCATACTGTGCATAACTTTCTGTTAGTGGCATATATAAAGAGTTGTTTCTATGTAGATGTTAGCGCATGGCTTCATTTCACTAGCATGTTCTGCAAAGTTGCAGCTTGTCATTTAAATTTCTTTATGATAATACAGCGCTGATTACAATTTTACAATCTATACTGGCAAGAGCAAGTCCTGTTCTGCAACATCACTGCTGATTGTAGGTATAATGGCAGCTGTTACTACTGTTGCTCATGCCTTTGCTTCTTTCCACAGTCCCTACAAAAACCACTGGAAAACTAGCCTTCACAATATATTATTTAAAAGGATCCATTACCCATTCTTCCTCACTTCTTTTGTTTTCTTTTTCCCTGTTTTCAGTGATGCCTTTACTTTCCTTTCCACACATCTTTCATCCAACTTTTCCTATTAACATCTCTTTGCCATGGGTAACTCTTCTTCATTTCATGAGGGTAAGGTGCTTTTTTTTCTGTTTCTTTTCTGTCCTGTCTTTGCTTTAGCTGATAATGCATAACAAACAAATACAAAAAGAAGTATTTTGTAGAACACCTAAGGTATACATGGCTATTACAGATTTTTTTAAGTAAAAGTTGAAACTGAGTATACTGTGACAGAAAATCTTGCACCATAGCATTGAAATGAGAAATCATTTCAGTTTAATTTATTGTGCCATAAGGAATTTTAGTGATGAAAGTGACACGTACAGTTTGTATGCACTGTTTGTCAAGGCTGTGGTTTTATTAATCTGTTCTTACAGGCAGATGGTGTCATCATGAAGTTTAATGCATATATTTTGTTGTGATTTCCTTACAAGTTACAAAACAAAAATATTTATCAACATGCTAGGATGACTCTATTCTGAAAGAGAAAAAAAACAACCCAACAAAACAAAGCATAGAAATTTGAAGAGCGCTCACTGGCTCTCAGTGGAATGTGCTGCATGGTCATGTCACCCAAGACTTTGTCTCCAGTGTTGCTGTGGTTAAATTACAGTAGTTATATCTGTTGTAAAGTTTCAGGTACCAACAACTGTTCTGGATTGACAGTGGTTTTTTGAGCTTAGTTTAAAACACTTCTAAAGCAACATAAGCTATATTGAAAGTAAGCCCTGTTCCCTGTTCTGCCAACAGAAGAGTAGTCTTTGGGTAGAATTACATTTATTTCAACAGCTTAAATTCATGCCTTATTGCATAATGTCTTTTTTTTTTTTTTTTTTTTTTTAGGATACGTGTTTCTTTTTAATTTTACAAAGAGTTTTTATATCCGAGAGACAGAAACACCTAGCACATACAGTAACTTACTAGAACAAAACCTAATGCTTCTAGAAAATTACTGTATTTTTCTGATTAAGCATTGGTATTGAGTTATTTCTGCAAGTAAGGATTAATCCTAAGTCTTTTAACTATATATATATATATGTATATATACACACACTTTGGAATCCTACAATCCTGAAACAAGTCTTGTCTATCTAAAATAGGCTTGCTTTGAAAACCCTTAAAATCATATGGGTTTAAGCTAAGTGATTTAAAGAATAAGCCACAAAGAAATAAAAATAATATATCATCTACTCTGTTAATCCACATGAGAAGCACTTTCTGTGCTTTGCAAAAAGACTAAGCTGCACAGCACGTCCCACACAGAGCCAAGCAGACACATCTTTCCAATATTTTTCCTGGCTCTTTATACATTTTGCAT